ATAGTGTCAGTGATAGCAACAATACTAATGCTAACAATAATAATAGCAATAATAATACTGATAATAATAGTTGCTGTTGATCTAGCAACAGGCTAGTAACAGCAATTGTCTTAAAATGGGCCTTACGGCCCCCAAAGTGGGGTATAACTTTTTTGTTTTATCAGTGATAAATACAAATTTTGTAATGAGTAATTTTTCCACGTTTTTTTCGTGATAAAATACAGTTTTTACTGCTTTTGAAAAATATGCAAATTCAGAATAAAATTTTGAATTCAGTACAAATTTCTAGTAATTTTTTTTGAATAATTTTTTTACTGGAAGACAAATAGTACTGAAGAAAATAACACTGATGAATTCCTTCAATTGTTGCTTCTTCTCGTCTTGTTTATAAATATGAAAAGAAATTGTTTTCAATCCAAAATTATAATTTTTGATATTCTGTGCAGTAGCCGTTTCCGTTTCTTCTTTCTCAATCTTCAAATAATATTTATTCGAATTATTTTTTATTTCATTTTTTTCACTATGAAAAAAATTTATACGAAAAAATAGTGTTGAAAAATGCTTATCGTATAGAAACAAATAAATACAATTTAATGTTTGATAAAATTTACTGTAATTTAATAATTTGTACAAAAAATAAAAATATATAAAAAAATGAAATAATGCTGCGACTAATTAAATATTAAAGTAGGAAGCAACGTAAATTGTAACTCTTGAACATTTTTGAATTGTAGCTGAAAATTACCGAATATACGAATGGAAAAATTTTGTTCTATTTACTAATTATGAGAAGTTATTATAATTTATCAATTAATTATTTATTTACTAATCAATTAATAAGTTGTAATACAATAACTTATTAATTTTTATACTTTTTGATAACTTATACAATTTATAGCTCTTTTTCAAATCATTAAAACATTCTTGTAGAGAGTGAAATTTAAAAATTTTGCGTTCTAAAATAAATTTTCAAAAAGATACATGAAAACCGGAAAAATAAATACATGTACAAGTAATGCATTATACAACTAGAAATGAAGTTGTTTAGTTGTTTCGCTCATACAATCCGCTGATTGAGTACTTTCTGTTTAGAAAATGAATTTCATTTTCAATTTTGCATTTTGTTTTGGAAATAAAAATTACGAAAAAAATCCCAATGGAAATATTTGAATTCCTTTGAGACTAAAACCAAACTTAGCATAAATCTAAATGCGTACCAGTCTCCAATAGACTACATTTTTGCTTATTAAATATTTGATAAAGAAAAATTGAGCAATTTTTACAATTTACTTATTTCAACTTTAAGCTTTTCACTTTTTACGTGATAAGATTTGTTTTTAAATTATTTAAACTTAAAAAAATATTTTTTCAAAAATAAATTTAAGCAAGTTTTTGCTTTTGTTTTACTTTATAAATTTTTACATTTTCTTTACTTTTTTAGCTCAAAAAGAAGACAATTATTGTTATTTTGTTTGCCAATTATTAAAATAAACTGAAAAGTAAAATTTTGTTTCAATATTTTTGATAACTTTCACGCTATATTTATTTTCTAAATTAGTTGAAATTAAAAGAAATAATAGTTTTACACTTTAAAATAATATTTTAATTATTTGAAAGATTAACTTTACTTAATTTTTACTTCACTAAATAAAAGACTTTCAAAAATTGCTAAAAGTGAAACAATCTTTCACAGCGAATTATTTCAAAACAAAAGTATTATTTATTTTTAATAATAAATAATATTACGCAAAGTAACAAAATTTTATGATTAAGCAAAAAATGCAAGTATTTAAAATATCTGAGAAGTGTGGTATTAGCAAGGCGGAAAAAAGGATTCAAAATTAGCAATTGATCAAATATTTTTCTTATTGTCAAAAAATGTCTGATAAGCTTGCATACTTTATCTAGCAGAAGCAAAAAAGAATGACTTACTGCCCTAAATGCTTATCTTCTGAATATTTTTAGTAAAGGAGCAAAAAAGTGAAACTTTACTTAAACAACTTTCGTGCAAGTTTAAGAGTATCACAAGAAAGGTTTTATGAGAAATAAAATATGCTACATTCTATAGTAATAAAAAGTATGAAAGATTCGGCAAAACTTTTTTCATATTTAACGTGTAATAATTTTGTAATAGTATTAAGTAATTTGCGAGAGTTATTAATTTATTTTACAATATCCTGAAAAAAAAATTATATCTTTTAAAAACATTGTGAATTGTATTTGAATTCATTAATATGACAATAAAATCAAAAATTCAGAGAAATAGAGAATTGGTATATTTTTTAAAATTGTATTCTAAATTGTTAATTTTGGTTAAATGCAAAAATTAATAATTTAGAATTTTTATGGTTTTAAAATATTACATTTGGTTATTTTAAATTAACATAATTAATTTGATAAATAAATCAATTTTAAACTTACATTTAAATTTTTCTAAACGACTCGTATTTAACTGATTATCGTAGGAACTTTTTGATGATATTACAGCTAGTCTTTGGAGCAAAGCAAAAATAAACAAATATAAATATGTGACAGTACAAGCAAGGAGCAAGCTGGTATATCGTTTTACAAATTTTGCATATATTGCAGTTATTTACGATAATTTTGCACAAATTATAAATGATCAAATTAAAAAATATGCAATTAACTTAATAAATTCATTAACTTAATGAATAAATCGAAGGAATAAATTCATTAAGTTAATGAATGTATTGCTCAAAATTGGAGCAAAGCAGTGTTAAATATTGTTAAAATTAGAAGGAGAAAAAGAAAAAAATTTGGATTAAATACAAAAAGTTAACCAAGTCAGAAACGAGTAATGAGCTAAACTTCTCACAAGTTTATTAATACTTAATTGAAAACGAAAATGGATGAATTTAAATCGAAAGAATGATTTTGCAAGTCGTAAAAAAAATATTTAAATGAGTAGTAAATGGTT